CTATTCAAATTTTGTATCAAACTATTTCTTCATGATGCAAAACGTAAATTTTATGCGCAAAAATATCAAATTTCACATAAATAAGCATAAATTAAACTTAACATGTAACTTTTTCATAATTTATAATCTAATACATGATTCCAAATATATGCATGTAGGCAAAATTATGTAACACACACAAACACACAAAAACAATAAATAAGCTGAAAATAGATTATTATTTTTTTGCACTCGAACAAGCACACAAACCAATAAAAACTCAATGTTTTTCCATCCCCAAACTTATATCAGACATTGCCCTCAATGTCTAAAAATATAACATGCAATATCTAAAAATTAAGGGTTAAGATGGAATTAAGCACTCCCCTAATATATATTTAAAGGTGGTGGATGGACTGCCATGAAAGTTCTGACTCACTTGCTCTGTCTTTTTTTCTTTTCCAGTGTGTTCAGGTGACATGTTCCTTCAAAATAGGAAAAATCAATCAAAATATGGAACATTTTATAATAAACTCTAAAATATCCTAAAGGGAAATATATGGATGAAAATACCATATACTAATTAAAAGTAATAATATTTATATGTCTATATTCTAGAAAAAAAAGTTAAATGAAAGAGAAGAAATTGGGTTGCCTCCCAATAAGCGATTGTTTACAATATTAGCTTGACTTTGTTGTTTTAGCTACTTATGGTGGTTTGAAAAGAGAGCTTTCAGTCTTGCATCTGCTGCACTGGCAGTAATTCTTCAATTCATTTTTGAGCCTCCAGATTACAAAGATTTTCATTATTGTCCCGCCCAACAATTCCACCTTCGTCTTTCCCGTTATTGTTAATTCCTCAATGATTGATCTTTCGACATTCCTCAACGTCTGAAGGTTGCTTAAGTGGAGCATTAATGGTGAAACTTTGTTGTTTTTCTTCTACCCTTAAGATTATTTCACCTTTTTAAAAATCCATTAATGCTTGTGCACTAGATAATAATGGTCTCCCCAAAATTAACAGCATATGTTGAGCATCTATATCAAGGATAATGAAATCAACTGGAAATAAGTTCTCTCCAACTTTGATGAGCACATCCTCTACCACTCCATAAAGATGCTTGGGTGTTCTGTCAGCCATCTGTAAGATTATTGATGTTGCTTTTGGATCATCCAATCCTAATTCCCTATAGATAGACAGTGGCATCAAATTAATACCTGCTCTAGAATCAATTAAAGCATTTAAATTATTTGAATTTCTTATAGAGCAATGCACAGTAAAACTCCCTGAATATTTTAATTTATGAGGGATCATATTGATTGCATTGTACTCTTCTGTCAGAGCCACTGTTTCATATACTGGCAACTTTTTTTTCTTAGTCAACATCTATTTTAGAAACTTTGTGTAGTTTGGAATCTGTTGAATGGCGTCGATGAAGGGAATGTTGATGTGAAGTTGTCCGAAGGCATCTAAGAACTTCTTGTATTGTTTGTCCAGCTTATTGTTCTACAATATTTGAGGGAATGAGATTGGAGGTGTGTGTTTATTGATAGGTACAATTGCATTAACCAATTGACTGTCCGACTTTTCTTCTTGTGTAACCTTCGTTGATTCTTTAGACTGAACAACTTGTTCCTCGCCCATGGTAGGTACCTGATTCTCCTCGATCCCTTTCTTCTTCACAATGATTTCTGGTAGCTGAGCCCCACTTCTCGTTGTGATGGTCTTGACTAATTCTTCTTTAGGTTGTTTTCAAAGCCTTTGAGGAAATGGAACATGTAGGACATAAGCTCGAACAGGGGTAGGAGGCTTGTATGATGGTGTCTCAATAATTGTATAATTCACAGCTTCAATTGCTAATACTTGTTTTCTTAGATTTGTCTCTATGTTACTTTGTAAGGTCTCTTGAGTAGCTGTCATCTAACCCATCTGAGTTTCCACGTTTTTAATGACAGCCTTCTGGTTCTGAATAATTGTCTATTAGGTTTGGAAATTAGTCTCACTCCGAGTAACGAACTGAGTTAATAATTACTCCATTGATGGTTTTCTATTTTGATGTTGTTGGAATCCCGATGGTCTTGCCTGAAAATTTTCTCATTGTCCTTGACTTTGATTGTTAGTCCACAAGAAATTTCGATGATTCCTCCATCCCGTATTATATGTGTTAGAGTAGAGGTTGTTTTGTTACCTTTGAAAATTCTGCACATAACTAACCTGCTCAAGTTGGATTACATGCGTGGAGGCTAAAGGACATCTTTTTGTAGTATGATCAGCTGCACAATCTTCACAAACCAATTTCGGTTGGTGTACCATGTTCACATTCTGAGTAAGGCTATCTAACCTCCTTGTCAATGCTTCCATTTGGGCTGCTAATGATGTAGCTATGTCGACGTTGTATATTCCTGTTGTTTTCCTCGACACTTCCCTATCTATTGGCCACATGGATTGATTCTCTACAATCCTTTCAAATAGGTCCAAGGCATTGTCCAATGGTTCCTGTTGAAGCATTGGCTATGTTGTAGAATCCAGGTCTCAAGCCTGAATAAAATATGCAGATCTTAGAGTCTTTAGGAATGTTCAGATTAGAGCACTTCTTAAAGTAATCTTTGAATCTTTCCCAAGCTTCTAGATAGCTCTCGAGGTCTCTTTGCTTGAAAGTATGGACTTATTTTTGAGTTGATAAACTCAAGAAGGTGGGAAGAATTTCAAAGTGAATTTTTGCACCATGTCATTTCATGAAACTATGCTCCCAGGGATTACTGAGTTTAGCGAGTCTTGTGCACCGTCCTTTAAGGTGTGGGGAAATAAGCGCAGTCGAAAAGCGTCAGCAGATATACCTTTGTGACTAATCGTATCACACAACATCAAGAAGGCTTGGATATGTTCATGAGGATTTTTAGTTGATCTTCCAGAGAACTTGATATCGTGATGATTCCGAAATAAGTTGATTACGTCGGTCTGATGTGGAACTTAGCCCGTCCAAATGGTGGATTTATGATAGGTGGTTACACTAGAACAGGAATGGGATTCACATAATCCCTCACTAAAGCTTCTGCATCATTTGCTACTACCCTTGGCTGGACTAGCTCAGGTAGTGGTAATGGATTCTGAACTTGATTCGGATTTTGATTTTCTGTCATTTTCCTTGCTTCTCTTTGTTCTCTTCTTCGTTGCCTGATGGTTCTTTCAATTTCGGGGTCTATTGGTAAGAGCTCAATTTCTTTAGATTCTTGCATAAACTGCCAAAAAATAAACCAAAAAAAAAAAAAAATAGTTGTGTAAATAATATCCTAAAATAAAATAAAATAAAATAAAATTTTGAATACTATAAAACTAATAAACTCAAATTAAATTATTCCCCGACAACGGCGCCAAAAGCTTGTTCGTACAAAACCCACAAGCGTACAGGTACGTTCTTAGGCATCGGGTTCTAAGAGTTCTATAGAATCTAGGATTCTATACTTCTCTCTAAGTTCAACTAATTTGGTAGAGGTCATAGTATAAGGGATTTTTGCAGCCCCCTACCCCGCCTTATAATCGGTGGGACCTTCACTCATAGCCCAAAAACCTCCATCTGACCCCCCCCCCCCTCAAGACATGGCTTACTCCCCAACCCTGGGAATGGTTACCCTCCCACTGCTAGCACTGGACCCAGAAGTCATTGAAATTAAAAAAAGATGGAATGAAAGATGGAATGAAAGATGGAAAACAGAGAAATTACCTAAACGAAAAGAAGCTCTAAGAACGTGACGTCGCCGAAGAATAGAAATGGCTGAAAAAGTTTTTTGAATGCTGGAAAGTTGAAGATTTTCACAAAGGTAAAAAACTATACATTGGCAAGTTTTTAGCTTTTATTGGAAAAGAAGACAAAGCTCAACCAATGGATCTAGATCTACTTCATCTAAAGCGTCTATTTTTAACTTTATCTGAGACGTTGAATTCAAACAATTTTTCTCATTAACGCCTTAGATTGATGCGTGTCTCAACATGAGCCTCGACGAGTCTCAAAATGCAGCAGTGTGCCCATCATGCGCATTCAATATGTGACGATTGTACGTGTATTGGAAGTCTAAACGATTCAATTATCTTTTCTTGGTAATGTGCAAAAATATCAAATCATTGGCACTATAACCAAAAGCATGCTTCATTTCAATTCAAACAAGGAGCTTCAGCAGTTCAGCACTTCCTTGCTTCGGCTCACCAAACAAATTTTAGCTATTTCAATTAAAACAAAGAGCTTCAGCAATTCAGTACTTGGCTCACCAAACAAATTTCAGTTATTTTTATAACAATGAGCTTCAGCAGTTCGGTACTACATAAGCATAAGACGACATGCGAGAATCGGATTCAACTTCGAACTCTAACTATGATATCAATATCTATACTTGGATTTGGGGGACTATTTTGTCATTCAAAAACCTAACCATGATGGGAAAACCTACTCTAAAGAAATATCACTCAAGACAGAAGTCAACGCATGACATGAATAACCATACATGTACTTTATGGACTATTTTTACACTTTGCCACGTAGCCGATCAGCCAAACCTGTTCACCGAAGCCATGTGGCATCCCACTTGGAGTGCATATGACCTACCAAATTGGAGCACCAAATCCTACTTTCACCGAAGCTATCCCATATGCATGGCCCCTGCCGAAGCCCACTTTCATCGAAGATACCCCGTGTCAAGAGACTCTATCGAAGCCCACTTTCGCCGAAGCGGTCCCGTGTGAAGAGGCTTTGCCGAAGTCTCAACCACGACAAGTGACAACCTGCATTTAAAGACCTTGAATTCATGAAATCTTTGTTGGAATGATTGATTTGACTCTTATAATGAGTAATGTGTCGAAGTCTTGTCAATATATGTTATAGGGTGACTGCCCCCTTTTTAGGAACATTTAATGTGCCACATGCTAATTGGGTCAAAATTGATACCTAAATAAAATGCTTAGGTTAAGGATAGGAGGCAACGTGTCCTCTCATCCAATGATCACCATTTCACATGTGATACTATAAATATTTCCCTCTTTTGTATCATTTGGGAGGTAATGCTAACACATTAACTACAAGCGATATATTCTCTCATTTTGAGTTTGATATTTTGTTGCTAAATTTAGACGTTTGATTTTTTGTTCATTCCTTATCGTGCATTTTCGCTCATATATCTTGTCGGCGTCCGAATATATTTGTCTCGTGTTATCAAGTCTTTCCCACGTTCAAATTCGAGATATTATCAACTAGCAATCTATCTACACGAGTTGAAATTAACTTGCGTGAAAACGAGTGAACTAGATATCTGTTGTCCATGTCAATGGCACAAAAAATGATGTCATCAAAATCAATATCTAGTATCAAGTTTCCTATTACTGAGGTGCATTAGTTGTCTTTGCCATTCTTACCGCACAATACGAATAATGTTTCTAAAGTCGTAAAATGTTAGAATGGCATGCCTTAAAAGTACACGGCAATTCATGCAATGATATTATTCAAGACAATTATTTTTCCATCAAATCATTTATTGTCGCTTCGAATTATGTGATTGCATCTGTTACGTTTCTTCCTACAAGAGTGGCAAAATACTTTTAAACAAGGTTGTGGTCCAGTTAATGATATGTATGACAGATTGATATCTCCGCCCCACCATACGCTGTCCACAAGAAAACCATTCCTTTGTTTATTTTATTGAACTTGATTAGATGCCCTCTAATTGGACAAATGACAGAGAATCAGCTGTCATAATTTTCCATTATGTACTAAAATATTGCCTTAATCACATGAATTTCTTACTTCATTTAAATTTAAATGAAATTCATGTACCAAATGAAGAAATGCCAAAAGTTAAGATGCTTAGATCTAATGACTTGTTTGGTGGGTGGGACGATAATTATAGTTCACACACACTACAATAAGTAATTACGGGGAACATAGATCATAAAACGAAACAAAGCTCTCGGGAAATCTCAAACTGTACAAAACGAAAGAGTTGACAAGACAAAAAATTACACATTTAAATCGAATCACAGAGGCAAACCTACACCTAAGGACAGACAGACGAAACAACTAACAACAGAAAAGCATGGACCAAATTTTGATTCACTAATTGAAAGGAGTGAAAATCAAATGATCGAGGAAGGCTCCGGATGTGTCACAATTGTGTAGGGACTGCTTTTCGAAATGGGACAGGGAAACTACATTCACACTTCACGTGCTTTCCGAGACTTTCCAGCTGTGACAAGCAGCCGCCTCACATGTTAATTCTTAGTTCCTCACCCTCTCCATCATGACTACTTCTTTCTCCATGCCTTTTTCACACTCATTTGGACTTGTATGTCATACAGTTTCCGAGAGTTAGTTTCGTCCTAGGAGCCAATTTTCGTCACATCCCTGCTCGATCTGTTGTATTTCATGTGACTTTTGACAAGTTGGCCAGCTGCAATGGCGGACATCAAAGAGAGCTCACCTGCCAAGACAGAACCAGCAACTACGGTGGCCAGGAGCTGGGAATTCGACCCTGGGGACTCTTTGTTTGCACCTTTTACCCCAAGCAAGTTGAGGCAAGCAGATTGTGATGCTAATTGGGTTCCACCTCCAACAGTGCCAACCTGTAAATAACAACAGTGATGATCAGGGAATGACGCAACAGATCTGATATAATCATAAACAAATGGGAGTGTGTGTGACCGTGATGGACTTCAGAACCAATTGAACATAATGATCCCAGTTCGAAGAAAAAATATATAAGATCATAGTACAGAGAAAAATTTCCAAATTGTCTAAGCATTTGTTGTATTTGGTGAGGAAATTCGTCTGCACCATCCAGTTACCTGCCATTGACACTGACGACTACCAAACTAAATACAACAAAAAAATAAAGATTGTTTGGAATGTTGAATACCTCAATGGAAGGCATTGTGACAGATATATGAAGATCGTTCCCATTGTTGACAGCCTCCGTCATAGTGATGCAGTGAGAACTTTCAATTTTTTGCGCCGGATCCTGCCCAGTGGCTATGTAAATAGCAGAGATTATATTGGCGGCATGGGCATTAAAGCCACCAAGGTCACCAGCTACAGCAGAGCCAGTAAGGTTCTTGAGCACGTTGAGCTCAACAAGAGCAGGTACTGTGGTTTTCAATACCTTCGTCACATGCATGTAAAAAGAAAATTTAAATAATAATTAAGTTGTAAATTGTTAAAAGATAAACATGTCACTTAAAAATCAACTAGAAATTTATAATAAAAGTCTAAAACATCCAAAAAAATAAATTGACATGACAAAGCACAAAATTAAAATAAAAGTTAAAAATAACATAATTAATTCCAATAGTAGCAATTGATCCTACAAATCAATGTAATCAACCAATTCCCCTCCAACTCTACTCATTATCATCAA